TTTATTAATGTTCAAGATATGCTTCACGGTAATGTATTATAAGATTTGGAAAGCCTTGAGTGTGTTCAGGATGGGATTCCAGATAATATATTAATCTTCAGGATAAAGTATTATAAAATTTGGAAAGCATTGAACGTGTTCAGGATGGGCTTCCAGATAATATATTAATCTTAAGGATAATGTATTATAAAATTTGGAAAGCCTTGAGCGTGTTCAGAATGGACTTCCTAATAATATATTAATTTTGAGGATAATGTATTATAAAATTTGGAAAGCCTTGAGCGTGTTCAGGATGGGCTTCCGTATAATATATTAATCTTCAAGATAATGTATTATAAATATTGGAAAGTCTTGAGCGTGTTCAGGATGGGCTTCCTGATAATATATTAATCTTTAGGATATGATTTAAGGTTTAAGGTTTAGAGTTTAGGGTTTAGAGTTGATGTTTTGGGGTTTAAGGGTTTAGAGTTTAGTATATTAATCTTCAAGATAATGTATTCTAAAATTTAGAAAGCCTTGAGCATGTTCAGGATGGGTTTCCAGCTTGAAGATAATGTATTATAAAATTTGGAAAGCCATAAGCGTGTTCAAGATGGGCTTCCAGATAATATATTAATCGTCAGGATAATGTAAAGCCTTGAGCGTGTTCAGGATGGGATTCCAGATAATATATTAGTCTTCAGGATAATGTATTCTAAAATTTGAAAAGCCTTGAGCGTGTGCAGAATGGACTTCCTGATAATATATATTAATTTTGAGGATAATGTATTATAAAATTTGGAAAGCCTTGAGCGTGTTCAGGATGGGCTTCCGGATAATATATTAACCTTCAAGATAATGTATTATAAATCTTGGAAAACCTTGATCATGTTCAGGATGGGCTTCCTGATAATATATTAATCTTTAGGATGTGATTTAATGTTTAAGGTTTAGAGTTTAGGGTTTAGAGTTGATGTTTTAGGGTTTAAGGGTTTAGAGTTTAGTAGATTAATCTTCAGGATAATGTATTCTAAAATTTAGAAAGCCTTGAGCGTGTTCATGATGGGTTTCCGGATTGAAGATAATGTATTATAAAATTTGAAAAGCCATAAGCGTGTTCAGGATGGGCTTCCATATAATATTTAATCGTCAGGATAATGTATTATAAAATTTGGAAAGCCTTGAGCGTGTTCAGGATGGGGTTCCTAATAATATATTAATCTTTAGGATAAGATTTAAGGTTTAAGGTTTAGAGTTTATGGTTTAGAGTTGATGCTTTATGGTTTAAGGGTTTAGAGTTTAGTATATTAATCTTCAGGATAATGTATTCTAAAATTTAGAAAGCCTTGAGCGTGTTCAAGATGGGTTTCCGGATTGAAGATAATGTATTCTAAAATTTGGAAAGCCATAAGTGTGTTTCAGGATGGGCTTCCAGATAATATATTAATCTTCAGGATAGACTGTAAGGTTTATGGTTTAGAGTTTAGAGTTTAGGGTTTAGAGTTGATATTTAATCTTCAGGATAAACTTTAACGTTTATCGGCTTCCAGTTTAGAATTTATTTATAGGGTTTAAGGTTCAGTGTTGATGTTTTAGGGTTTAGAATTGAGGTTTAAAGTTTTGGGTTGATTTTTTAGGGTTTAGAGTTTATTTTTTAGGGTTTAGGATTTTAATGTTGATGGTTAAGGGTTTAGAACTCTGGTTTAGGATTTATATTTTACTTCTATGGTTTAAGGTTTAGTGTTGCTAGTAAATTTAGAGTTGAAGTTTTAGGGTTTAGGGTTTATAATTGAAGTTTAGGATTTAGAGTTTATGTTTTAGAGTTTAGAGTTGAAGGATTTAGTGTTGAAGTTTTAGGGTTTAGGGTTTATAATTGAAGTTTAGGATTTAGAGTTTATGTTTTAGAGTTTAGAGTTGAAAGTTTAGGGTTTAGGATAATTTATAGGGTTAAGGGTTTTGAGTTTATTTTCCGGGGTTAGGGTTCTGTGTTGATGATTTTGGGTTTAGAATTCACGATTATGGTTTAGGGTTTAGAGTTTAGGTTTTAGGGTTTAGAATTGAGGTTTATGATTTAAGATAATATTTTTAGTGTTAAAAATTGATGATTTTTTAGGGTTTAGGGTTCATTGATGATGGTTTAGGATTTAGAAAGGTTTAGGGTTTAAGATTGATGTTTTAGAGTTTAGGGTTGAAGGTATAGAGTTAGTATTTTTAGGGTTTAAGGTTTAGTGTTGATAGTAATGTTTAGAGTTATTATTAATTTAAAGCGAAAGTTTAAGAGACATTTTTTCCCATTAATGAACGTCATTTTTTGTGACTTTTCTTTTCTGGTGCTATTTTGGAGAAAAACTTCAAAAGTATTACTTTTGTCAATTGCCCTTATTATTAATACTTACTGTTAATACTACTAATGTTTCTTATTTTAAAACTTTCAAATTTTATATAAAATAATTTTGTTTTAACTATATTTTATTATATATATAAGTTTAGTTTCCAAGAGAATATAAAATTATTTCCATAAATTATAATTGTATTATGAAAATATTAATAATTTTGTTAAATCATAAATAAAAATTTCAATAAAGAAATCTAACTAAATTTCATTAAGTTTTTTTACTATGTGAAAATCTCCAAAATAGCACATTTCTAAGTTAATGTCACAAAAATAGCTCTCAAAAACTAAAATGACCAAAATAGCATATTATCTTTTGAAAATTTTCAAATTTTTTTTTTCAAAAATTGAAACCTTATCCCTAAAACCCCACTCCCCAACTCTAAACCTTAAACCCTAAACTCTAAACCTTAAACTCTAAACCCTAAACTCTAAACCCTAAACTCTAAACCTTAAATTCCACCCCTTACCTCTAAACCCTAAGGTCTAAATTAATTTATCATTGGGATATAGGTGTATATTTTAATAAAATCTTAAGTGATATTTTGGTCATTTTTATTCTTAAATGGTATATTTGTGACAAAAATTATTTTTTAATGTAATTCTAGTCATTTTCTCTTTTATTATTCAATTTAATACACCAACTAGTTATTTTGTTCATTTTAATATTCTAAGTTTTAAAAAGTGCTCATTCATATCTAAACTTTTTTTTTATTTTAATCGAAAATGTTAATAATTTTCAAGGAAACTTAAAAAATCTCTAACTTTAAAAAAAAAATCTGACTTTTTTAATTTTATTTTAAGTTTTAGAAATAAAAGAAGGAACGCAATGGACGGTGGTGTCATTACAGAGCTCATCACCCTCCATCGTATATTGCTCATGTCATCCGGAAAGAAATCCATCTCCAACTCATCTCTTTACAAACTGATGAAGACAAGGAAGCTACTCAAAGATGGTCCTATCTCACAAACCTGAACAGACACGACTGAGGCAACGCAGTAAAACTAGATCTCACAAATTTGAATGATCAAATCCTTTCAAGTTGCTTCGAAACTCTTTTGTTTTGTTTTGTTTTGTTTACCTATAAATAGTCCTTACATTTATAAGTCTGTCCAAACAGACCAAACTTTATTAAACTCCTTGTAACATTTTTTTTCTTTGTTGGTATATAATTTACATTTCAACAAAAAAAAATTCCCTCAAATTTCAAAAACATTATACGTAAACTTATTTTTTCTTTCGAAATGATGCACTTTGGAAATGGTCTAACATTGACATTTAAGCCAAAATGGCAAAGTCAGATACAGATATATAGTTTGGTCAACATTCAGACGAAGTTATTATAAATGGATTATGACTCAGTCAGAAGAGTTTTTGACTAGTTATAGATTTGATTCATAATGTACAAAAAAAAAACATTTTTTCTCTACTTGCTAACATTTATGTCGAAAGAAAAAAGTTTGGTGAATGCACCTAAAAATGCGATTGAACACTTGTGCGTCCGTGCCACGACCGTTACACATACTCAAAGGGCTATTTTGCTGAATTTCTTTTTTCTTGAATAAGAAAATTGAAAACAAGATTGGTGCGATTGTTTTTATCCATCTAGACAATTTAAATATAAATATAAATTATAATTTTTTGTCTATCAATAAATAAATTTAGTAATCACAACTAGACACGGATAGAATATACGGATTTTAAAAATATTCATGATCCTATTCGTTTCATTGTAATCATCCAGATATTTAGTATCTCGGATATATGAAATTTTAGATTTTTAATTAAATATTCGATTGGATTTATACAAAAAAATAGATAATATTCTAAAACTAATATTAATTATTAATATTTTATCATAAAAATTATATACTTTTTAAAAATCTAATAACCAATATATAAATTAATAAATATAAATATTATAAACTTTGTTTAAATTATAATATTTATATAATTTATATATAAGTATAAATTATATAAGAGAATCGAATATTCGTTCTTTAAAATATTAGTATTTTTGATTTATTTTGTTTCTTATAGTTATTGAATATTACTATTGTTTTTGTTTCATAGACTTACAAATATCATAAATTTTGAGTTCGAAACAAAACGATAACAAATTAAATAAAAATTTATAAATATTTTATCCACTATACTTATATAACGGATCGAATCAGATATCTGTTCTTAAAAATATTATTTCTACTTTATTTTACTTTTATAGATTTTGAATATTAATATTACATTGCTTTATAGATCTAGAAATATCATAAAATTTTAAATTCAAAACTAAACAGATAACAAAATTGAATCAAAATTTACTAATATTTTATTCATCACTGAAAAGAGTTAACCACTGGCCAATAAAATCATTTTAACGCTATTTAATACTTATGAATTTCATAGTCCGGAGAACAAAAATGTCTATGGGCTAATGACTTGAGTGGTTAAGTAAGTTTTTAATCTTAAAAAAATAAACAAATTACCAAAGAAACCCGGCGAATCTTTCACATTGCCACGTCATTCGGATATCATTTACGTTATCGAGTTCGATGCACAATAATATCTTCTTGTAAAATTAAAATCATATAAATATGAAGAAACCTTCTTTCACTTCATTGCTATAGAGATTCTTCTCCCCCCCTCTCTCTCTCTTCTCTCTCTCGCAAAACACTCTTCTTCTTGTTCTCCCTTTTCTTGGTTTCTCAATTCAGTCCTCAACACAGTACTTAGGGTTTCCCCTCAAACGGCGCCGCTTCTCTGGTTCGTATATACTTTGTCTTTCTCTCCTCTCTTTGCGTTTCCTTTGTATATGACTTTGATTTATTCACGAGCGATTTCTCGGGTCTTTTGATTTTTGCGGTTGATTTTGAATTTTTTGTTTTGTCTAATTCAGTTGACGATGACTTTGACTATTCTCTCTCTGCTCTGCTTCTACCGATGAGTTTTCAGATCTTTTATTTCTTGGTTCCGCGTTATTACACTGATCAAAGTTTATATAACGACCGATTATAGTCGGTTACAGGTTTTCGAAAAATGTTTTAACTTTCAATTTGAATCACAAGTTTTTCTTTAATTTCAAAATTTCAGTCTTTTGAATTGCTGCTGATTTTTTTTTTGTCTCCTGATTCTGTAGACGATGACTTTTGACTCTACCGATGACATTTCAGATCAAGTTGGTTGATTTTTTTAAAAATTAAGCTTGGTTTAAATATGATTATATTGATAACCAGTTATGGGTTCTCCATAGATTTTAGCTTTGGATTTGAATCACAATTTCTTCTTAAATTTCAAAATTTCAGAATTTAGGGTTCTTGATTAGATTGATAGGGTTTATTCATATGATCCTCATGACTTTATAGTTTTTTTTTTTTTTATTTTTTTATTTTTTTTATTTTTATAATCATTGATAACCTAATTCTCACCACATCTTGACAAAAAACAGATTATCTCTTTGTGCTTATTCACCTGATTTATACAAATGTTTCTTCACAACATAATTTGAAAATCATCTTTGATCTAATCATTCTCTGTTGCTGTCCAAAAAAAATTTCAGAAATTTTACCAATGGCAATGGATCAATCCTTTGAAGATGCTTCTGGAGAACTCTATGGAGAAGGAGCATTTTCTTTCAAGAAGACCAAACCTGAACCAGTCTCTGTCTCTCTTCCTTCTGAAGATACCAATGTTGATTCCAATTTTGACTGCAACATTTGCCTAGACTCAGTGCAAGAACCGGTTGTCACCCTCTGTGGCCACCTCTTCTGCTGGCCCTGCATCCACAAGTGGCTTCTTGTACAGAGTGATGAACACCAAACACATAAACAATGTCCTGTTTGTAAATCCAAAGTCTCTCACTCTACACTGGTTCCTCTGTATGGCCGAGGCGGTGACAATAGTCAGGACAAGGATAAAAACAGTGCTGTGCCTAGAAGACCGGTTTACAAGCTTGAGATGGCGAATTCAAGTACCGATCTCCGGTTATCTCAACGGGTTCAATTCAATAATTCAAATGAAGGTTACTACCCTGTCTCAGGGGTGATGAGTTCGAATAGTTTGTCATACTCTGCTGTTATGGATCCAATGATGGTGATGGTTGGAGAAATGGTAGCTACGAGGCTGTTTGGAACAAGGTTGATGGATGGGTTCACGTATCCGGACACTTATAATCTTGCAGGGACAAGTGGGCCGAGGATGAGAAGGCGGATAATGCAAGCTGATAAATCGCTGGGAAGAATCTTTTTCTTTATCAGCTGCTGTGTGGCTCTGTGTCTTATACTGTTTTAGAGTTCTTCTCATCAGCTTTGTACTACTTGGTTCACTTTCTAAAAAGTGTGAGGAAACATAGACAATGAGGTGTATGTACATTTGTGTTGGTTAGAACGAATCAAAGTTGCTTAATGTTGGGTTACATGTTTGTATAGATTTGGTGTGAGGATAGTGCTGTCCAGATGGAAAGGCCAAGTTGGTAGGCCTGATTTGCATGTGTGTAATTCATCCCATGGGTAGAATAATAAATAAGAACTACAAATGTTTTTCGAATTGGTAAATACTTTTTTTTGTGTCCATGGTATGATACTTTCAAGAAGACCAAACCTGAACCTGTCACTGTCTCTGTTCCTTCTGAAGATACCAATGGTGATACCAGTTTTGACTGCAACATTTGCCTAGACTCAGAGCAAGAACCGGTTGTCACACTCTGCATCCACAAATGGCTTCATGTACAGATTGATGAACACCAAAGACATAAACAATGTCCTGTTTGTAAATCAAAAGTGTCCCACTCTACGTTAGTTCCTTTGTATGGACGAGGCGGTGACAATAGTCAGGACAAAGATAAAAGAAGTGCTGTGCCTAGAAGACCGGTTTACAAGCTTAAGATGGAGAATTCAAGCACCCATCTCCGGTTATCTCAACGGGTTCAATTCAATAACCGGCATGAAGGTGACTACCCTGTTTCAGGGGGGATAAGTTTGTCATACTCTGCTGTTATGGATCCGATGATGGTGATGGTTTGTGAAATGGTAGCTATCGGGTTGTTTGGAACACGAGTTATGGATAGATTCAAGTATCCGGACACTTACAATCTTGCAGGGAGTAGCTGTCCGAGGATGAAAAGGCAGACTATGCAGGCCGATAAAGCACTGGGGTGAATCGTTTTGTTTTTAGGGTTATTAGTGATTTAAACCCCCAACTATTTTTAAATCGGATGGAAAACCTCGAACTATAATTTTATGTTTTTAAACCTACAACTATTGAACCGTTAGTGCCGTTAACCTTCTGTTAACAAAGTCGTCTATTCTTAATAGAGATCCTTTAAATTGAAACGCATTGTTTCATATAATCACAAAAATGATACGAAATGCTTACAACCAACAAATATTTTAGTGATTTAAACCTCCAATTATTTTTAAATAGGATAAAAAACCTCTAACTAAAAATTATGTTTTTAAACCCTCAATTATTTAACCTTAATGCTTTTAATCCTTTGTAAATAAAGCCATCACCTTAAAAACAATAGTTTTAATTTGGACGATTTGAAGATAACCAGATCCAAAATTGATGTCTGAGCCATGGAAAACATGGAGAAAGTGAGAGATGGTGTGGGACGGTGGCGTGAGCCGGCCAGACGATGGTCTGAGAACAGAGGCGGATCCACTTGCAGAGGTATGGGGTCATTTGACACCTTTTTGTGGATAAATGTTAGTTTTGTATAGGAAAACAACAAAAATTAGGGAGCAGAGTTGGTAAAATACAGCTACTAAACCTCCAAAAATTCAGGTTTGACTCCCACCAGTGACATTTTATTTTTCTGACCCCACTAATATTCAATCCTGGGACCGCCCATGTCTGAGATGGAGAGAGACTCGCAATCCATGGCTAAAGATTGAAGTGGTGATGATAGAGAATATGCAAATTGCGGTAAGGAGTCGGAGAACAATACTATGATTCATTAATCCAAAAGTGAAAATTATATTTAATGATATTAAAAATTTACATCGATTAATTTTTTTAAAAGAGAAAATTATAAAAAATCCACAAGATTTTTTAGTAAGAAATATTTAATTCTAAAACAATTCAAAAACCAATATCCCAAAAACAAAATTTTGATGTTTCCAATATATATATGAAAATTAAATAAAAATGGACCTACATGATATGATGTTTACATAATATGATGTTTTTAGTGTGAAATATACATATATATATATTTCACACTAAAAACATCATATTATGTAAAATAGTATTTTATATAATAATGTTTTAAATGAATGTTTTACAAAACATAAATTTATAAAATTCTATAGTACTAATATTACTAACCACACAAACATTATTATAAAAGTAGATAATCCATAACATTAAATTATACTTATTTATTGATAAACATTAAATTTAATTTTCATATATATATATATATATATATATTTCACACTAAAAGCATCATATTATGTAAAAATAGTATTTTATATAATAATGTTTTAAATGAATGTTTTAAAAAATACAAATTTATAAAATTCTATAGTACTAATATTACTAACCACACAAACATTATTATAAAAGTAGATAATCTATAACATTAAATTATACTTATTTATTGATAAAAATTAAATTTAATTTTCATATATATATATATATATATATATATATATATATATATATTTCACACTAAAAGCATCATATTATGTAAAAATAGTATTTTATATAATAATGTTTTAAATGAATGTTTTAAAAAATACAAATTTATAAAATGCTATAGTACTAATATTACTAACCACACAAACNTATACTTATTTATTGATAAAAATTAAATTTAATTTTCATATATATATATATATATATATATATATATATATATATATTTCACACTAAAAGCATCATATTATGTAAAAATAGTATTTTATATAATAATGTTTTAAATGAATGTTTTAAAAAATACAAATTTATAAAATGCTATAGTACTAATATTACTAACCACACAAACATTATTATAAAAGTAGATAATCTATATCATTATATTATACTTATTTATTGATAAATAATATTTCACCTTCGATAGTTTTTGAAAATGATTAAAGACCATAATTTTGTTTTTATTAGGGATGAATCTTGTTTGTCGGTGCGTACCAATTTAACAAATTTTATTTACAGTATTAAAAGCATTAAAGTTAAATAGTTGAGGGTTTAAAAACATAAATTTTTAGTTGGGGGTTTTTTATCCTATTTAAAAATAATTTAGGGTTTAAATCACTAAAATATATGTTGATTGTAAGCATTTCGTGTTGTTTCTGTAATTATAGAAAATGCTACGTTTCAATTTAACGGATCTCTGTTTAGAAGAGACGACTTTGTTAACAGAAGGTTAACGGCACTAACGGTTTAATAGTTGGAGGTTTAAAAATATAAAATTATAGTTCAAGGTTTTCCGTCCGATTTAAAAATAGTTGGGGGTTTAAATCACTAATAACCCTTGTTTTTAATATGTTGTGTGGCTCTGTGTCTTCTACTGTTTTAGAGTTCTCCTCATCAACTTTGTCTTACTTGGTTCACTTTCTAAAAAGTATTTACAAAGTATAGACAATGAGGTGTATGTACTTTTGTGTTGGTTAGAATGAATCAAAGTTGCTTAATGTTGGGATACATCTTTGTATAGATTTGGTGTGAATAATAAATAACCTTAATGTTTTTTTTTTTCAAATTGGTAGTACTTTTCTTTGTGTCCATGGTATGAGACGACTTCAAAGTCTTGAGTTATGACTTTTAATGTGAGTTTTTAAGTCCTGTTCTTGTTTGAATTTCCGTTGAGACCAGTCAAGTTTGATATTGAAGAGGATGAACTGTCTATGCGTTGAATGTTTCCTGTTATTCCTTAAAGAAAACATTCCATTAGTTTATAGATTGACTGTCGCTAATCTATCGGCAGCATGCACATAGGAACGGTTTATATAAATGGAGGGACCATCTTAGAATTTAGCGAAGTCTCATATCCTTTGTCCACTTTGTAAGTCTCTCTTTCTTTCCTTTTGCTTGGAATCGTTGACTTGAGCACGATTTGTGGAGTGATTTTAAGGCTTGTGATGGATCTTTCAGAAGCTGGTCTAGATAGAATTGAGGCACAGAGGGCAAAGGAGGTGTCTTCTGACCAACGGAACCGAAGATTCTTCCTCATGAACAACGGTGCAAGCAGAATCTGTCCACGAGGTTCCCCTGAAAGCCAAGGAGAATGCACGCAGCCACACAAGTTCCTAGCCAGTCTCAGACTTTCTGATCTTTATAACCTCCCTGGTGAATCTGTGGCGATGAACTCAGAGATGTTTAGTGCAATGAGAGCCGGGAACATAGAGTTTCTTGAGAAGATGAAGAGGTACGAAACAACACCTATGGCATGCTTCAAGAACAGCAAGGGAGATTCTATTCTTCACCTCGCTTCTTCTTATGGTCATCTTGAGCTAGTGAAAGGCATAGTTTCTGCATGCCCATCTCTCCTGTTGGAGCCAAATTGGGAGGATCAGATTCCGCTTCATGTGGCTGCTCGTGCTGGTCATGCAGCAGTTGTTGAGGCTCTCGTTGCCTCGGTAACATGTTTTTCAGCTGGACTATCTGAAGAAGAGAGGTTGAATCTCTATGTTCTTACGGACAAAGATGGAGATACTCCTTTGCACTTAGCCTTGAAAGACCTCCATGAAAAAACAGAGGTATTAATTAATTACTCTGGAAATTTAAATGACCCCTAAGACTCCTTAGTTCATACATAGTGTCTCTCTCTTCTTCTACTATGTCTTTGATGCTTTGGTAATTTCTGGCTTTTAGCTTTTGATGTATGAGCGTCGCACCAGGAACCAGTCCATTTCTCACTTTGTCATGCATTCATTTCCTGATACTACATCAACACGGCTAATGGAGACATCTGTTTGTCTAGTGAAGGCAAATCAAAGTGTTTCACTTGTTGCAAATAAAGATGGAATATCTCCCTTGTATTTAGCAGTTTTAGCTGGTAATGTGTCCCTTGTGAATGCAATGTTGTTGAGCCATCCTAATAATAACGTGCAAGGCAACTTAGCCTCGCAATTACAAGGGAGAAAATCACTTGTTCATGCAGCCCTAAAGGCTAAGAATACAGGTTTGTTTCCAAAACTAAACTTGTTTGCTGAAATAACTAACCGAGAAACCCCCCATGCCTCTGCTTGTGTACAGATGTTCTTGATGCTATTCTCAATAAAGACCCAAGCCTCCTCAATGAGCGAGATGAAGAAGGAAGAACCTGTCTCTCGGTTGGAGCTTCTGTAGGGTTTTACAAAGGCGTACGCAAGCTGTTAGAGCGTTCAACCACAAGCGTCTTTGAATGCAACGATGATGGTTCTTTTCCCATCCATATAGCAGTGGAGAAAGGTCACGTAAATGTTGTTAAAGAGATTCTAAAATGTTGTCCAGACTCTATAGAGCAGCTTAACAAAGAAGGTCAGAACGTTCTTCACATTGCAGCAAAGAGTGGTAAAGCTGTATCTTTTCTGATGAGTCATATCAAGAGACTTGGTACGAAGAACCATCTTATCAAAGAGCAAGATGTGAATGGGAATACACCTTTGCACCTGGCCACCATACACTGGCGTCCTCGAACTACCTTTGCTATGACCAACCCAAAGATCCTCAACATACAGAACAAAGATGGCTTGAGTCCTCTGGACATTGCAGAGATAAACCTGCAGTCTGACTACGTTTTGCGGGAGGTATAAAAAAAGCATCTCTCTTTATATGTACAAGTTTTACTTTTTTGAGAAAATAACTAAGATAACACTAAAAAAAGTTTTGGCACAAATATAACACTTAAAAATAAAAATGACCAAAATAAAACTTAATGTTTTATTAAAAGAGATAAATATATATTTATATCCCAATGATAAATTAATTTAGACATTAGGGTTTAGAGTTAAGGGGTGGAATTTAGGGTTTAGGGTTTAGAGTTGAGAAGTGGGTTTTGGGATAAGATCTCAATTTTTGAAAAATATGTTTTTAAAAAAAATTTCAAAAGATAAAATGCTATTTTGGTCATTTTAGTTTTTGATGACTATTTTTGTGACATAAACTTAGAAATGTACTATATTTTGGAGATTTGCACTACTTTTCTTTTTCCACATGATTTTAAGCTTATTGCCTTTTTTTTTGTTTGTTTCCATCTCTCTCTGGGAATAACAGAGAATGACATTGATGGTCTTGCTATGCGTTTATGAACCAAGAGGTGTTACTTGGCGTCCAACGAGTGGGATGACATTAAGAAGCAGATCAGAGAAACTAAATGGTTTCGGTGAAAAATACAAAGACCGTGTCAACATACTTCTACTAGTGGCAGCTCTTGTAGCAACCATAACGTTTGCTGCAGGTTTTACTATGCCAGGTGGGTTTAACAGCTCTGGCATGGCTGTTTTGATCAATGACAGTACCTTCTCAAACTTTCTCGTATGTGACACCTTGGCAATGCAGTGCTCTGTTATAGCAATAGTCACTCTTATCTGGGCACAGTTGGGAGATCAAGAACTCGCACACAGAGCTTTTCACTTGGCTTTGCCCTCACTCTTCTTTGCTCTCTTCTTCATGTCTGCAGCATTTATTTACGGCGTCAATGCTTCAGTACAACACAACATCGTGCTTGATGACAAGATACATATTATATCTGCCATCTTCTGTAATGTCACGCTTGTCCTCCTTGGACCTTATGTTATCCCTCAGGTCTCTGGCATTCCTTTTGTTCAAGATTTAACCAGTCTTTATCTCTATCTTCTTTTGTGGTTTGTTAGTGAAGACGATGGTGAGAAACATCACATCTCCAAGTTGAAAAGTGAAGATCGTCTTAAAGGAGATATAGTATATCAAAATAGCTTTCTCCAATATTAGAACCCATCTGTATCTGTAATTATATGGATCCACTGCTTTTGTTTAATAAACATGTTACATAAGTTTTGTTTTTCTAATTATTTTAAGACTTCTTGTTCCCATTATTGTATGTTACTAATTACTCTATAGGACAAGGCTGTTTCCTGCTATATTTGTTGTTTAATTTTTTCAGAATACCTTAGCATAATACAGTCAATAATAATATACTATCTCATAAGAGTTAGATTGGTACTATGAATGCATAGCTTTTTATGTCTTGATCCTTATTAAAATTCATGTTCCAAAGATTCCCAGAGTTTTATATTTACAAGCATAAGCTCTCAGCATCTTTGAGGAGGTCAAGCATAGCACTAAGGAAGAGGATCTAAACTGCTGGTTTGAAAGTCCAACAAGTAAGATTCAGTTTTATTTATACATCTATGAATCCCAAGACTTACAGGGCAGTGGTTATGGGTAAGGTGCAAGATCTTGAAAAGATTATGCAGGAAAATGAGATTCCTGTTCTTGATCAGGTCACTTTTCAAGGAAACACAATCCTGCATCTTGCTGCCATCTATGGTTATGACCACCTAGTGCGGCGTATTCTTGACCATGAGCTAAACGTTCTTAGAAGCTGGAATCCTAACATAGTTGGTAACTTTGCTCCTAGTTTCTCCCACTATCAGAATCTTCTTGTTAGACAGAACTCCGAAGGAAACCTTGCTCTCCATGTAGCAGCTGCTGCAGGACATGAGCGTATAGTTGACTTTCTCGTTGAATCTCTAAGGAGGCTTCCCCAAGATAGAAATATTGTGCTTGGTTCAGAGCAGATACTATTTGGGAATATTTTCAGTGTCTCTAACAATGATGGGTTTACTGCATTGCACTAAATAAGGATTATAAAAGATGTGTCAAAGAAAGAGTTGGGTAAGAGAATTTGGAGACACATATGGTACCAAAAGCAGCAACAAAAATAACAGGAACGTTTAATTTACATGTTCTTTAGAACATAAATGGAGATACTACTCTGCACTCAGCATTGAAGAGACATCATCTGGAGACCGATCTATGCCTTGCAAATGCATGTAATCATATCTCATTTCTTGAGAAAAATGGAATATCTCCCTTTTCTTTGGCTGTGTAGAAGCTGGAGCTCCAGACTTAGGCCGAAGCTCTATTGCTTGCACAGGCAGCTTTTTTTTTGGATCAAATAATAGAGGTTTGGTTCACCCATTTTATTGTGTTCTTGTTCCTTATCTCAAGACTTTACCATTTGTTTGAGTAAATATCCTTGTTGCTCTTCTTAAGAAAGAGCCGAGTCTTGTCAGTGAACAAATGAAGGACGGACTTGTCTTTCAATTGGAGCATCTGTAGTGTAGTATAAAGAAGTATAAAACCTTCCCGACTGGTCAACTTTAAGTGTCTTAGAATGCATCAGAGATGGTTCTTTTCCAGTCCACATTGCAGTAGAGAAAAATTATGTAGATGTCAAAAATATCCTCAAAGCGTTGTTCAGATTCGAAAGAGCTGCTTAACAAACAAGGTCAGAAGATTCTCACATTTCAGCAAAGATGGCTCGACACCATTTGATATTGATACAACTGTTTTGTTTCAATATCAATCCATGTTTGCCTTTTTGCTCATCATTCATGTTTGTCTTCTTGGAATTTCAGAGGCTGAGTTTGATGGTCTTGTTTATTCACTTACAAACCAAGAGGTTATGCAAAATACCACTTAGTGTTTCTGACATGATGCACACGAATTATTACGTTTAACTATGCAAACATGTATGAATAATCCATATGCGGGGATAGCTCAGTTGGGAGAGCGTCAGACTGAAGATCTGAAGGTCGCGTGTTCGATCACGCTCACCGCACTTTACTTTTTAAATTTATTCAAAATAGCGATATTGTTTAGAAAAGACAAACTAGAGTTTGATCCGCACCGCATTATATCAACGACCTTTTGAAAAGAAAAACAAGAGTTTGATCTCCATATCTGAAAAATATTTATTTTCACATTTTATAAATGGGAAGATGACCTATTTCTATATCAGAACAATTATATAGTTTCACACAATTTAAGTATAATAACCTATTTTTACATACAATAAAAGTTCTAACCCTTTTCCACATAAACTTTGAAAGATAAACTAGTACCAACAAATAGTGGTTTAAATTTAGAGAATATAAAGTGAATATGTCAACCTGATTATGACCTAATTAGAGAATATAAACCGGGTTAAGTCTACCTAATGCATTTGGATCTAATAATCCGACCCAATACTTGAATTAAGCCAATTAGAAACCCTAGAAACCTAAATCCCCAAATCATCTTCCTCTGTCTCTCTCGCGCGAAGAACAACAAAGTTCCTCCATATCGTTTCTCCTCTCCTTGGCAAGTCACGTAAATTTGACATCTCTCTCTCTCTCTCTCTCTCTCTCTCTCTCTCTCTCTCTCTCCACTCGAATTTCCAAATTCATTATTCTTACTTTAAGGGGGTTTTCACTGTAGTAAACAAAATCTCTTCTCCGAATTTTAAGATTTTAAGGTTCTAAAGGATAAATCGATTTGGGGACTTTTAAAAGGGTTTCAGGTCGGGTTTAAATCAAACCCTTCGGATCTTCGTCTGGGTCGTGTTCTACCAATATGAACCGATATACACTGGTTTACTATCTATTAATATCATAAACCATTAAAATTAAACCAAATCTTGGTTTGTGTGGAAATGGGCTTCGAACTTTTATAATGTGTGGAAATAGGTTGTTATACTTAAACTATATGAAATTATGCAGAGATTGAAAGATTATGTACATTTGTTACTTTATAATAGTTCTGGTGTCGAAATAATCTTTCCTATATAAATAGAGTTGTAATATTTATATTTTTGTATTAAATAAACGTTAATATGACATTTCTAAACATAATATTTTAGTTATTATATTGAGTAATTATCTTTTGTTTCTTGAAATGTAAACTATATCACACATATTTTTTTGTATTCTATAAATTTATCGTATCCAATTTATATTTAACTATATGAATAAGTATAGTTCTTTTTTGCTTATTGTCTTTTTTTCATTAGGATTTGAATAAAATAAAATTAACATTAAACACTCTTATACAATTTTTTGGTTAATATTTTAAAAAAGGATAATTACTTTCAAATTTATTTTACAATTATTTTTTCTTTATGATTTTGGAAAAGGAAAATTAGTATTTAATAAGTTATTTGTGCATATCATTTTTGGTATAAGATTTTTAAGAACGAAAATTATATTATTTTTCAAAAAAATGTGTTGATATGTGAATAATGATAGTTCTTTTTGGTTTATGTTCTTTTTAATTAGGATTTGAATAAAAGAAAATTAACATTAAACATTCTTTTACAATTTTAGTTTAAGTTTTTAAAAGAAAAATTGTTATTTAACACATGACATAATCTTAAATATATAATCGCCATGTGTCGCGATCATGTTAATTAGTAACTTTGAAAACCAAGCTTTATATAATAAGATGCATTGTTGAAAATAAATTGAAAACATAAACCAGCTAATAGTAAAAGTAAAAATGTACATTGTTGCAAAATAAAAAATAATTAAGGTTTTAGTTTATAATGAATTAGTTGTTGAATTGATTTAGGTAAGTATGTTTTAAATTTGGAAAAGCATAGATCATAGTATTTTAGTTTATATTGTTGTCAAAAAAGAGTTTTAAATTTGGAAAAGACAATAAATACTAAAGTTTAGACTAATTAAATTCTGAGTTGCATTTGGTGTAATTAAATAGCTAATTTATGGGTTAGCTTATATTTGTATTTCAGTTTTAATAATATAAATTCTCTAAAATATTCATTTTTTGTTTATTTTCACAAAAATAGCTTTAAAAAGGATAGTAACCAATATAAATTTTATTGAAGGGTAAATATACATTTATACCTTTAAAGATGATGTCTAAAAATTTAAAAAATAGATAATAAATATTAAAAATTTATAAAAAGTTTTTAAAGATAGTTTCAAAAAGTATTTTTGCATTTAAAAAGGAAAAAGAAAAAACAAATTTGAAAAGTTTTTTTAATTAAAAGTTCAAATCTGAAAACATATAATTCAAGATTATAAACAAGATTTTTTATTTTTTATATATCTATAAAGCACTGCTCTAAAAATTGGTCGTCTAGGCTCTAGGCGGTATTCATTAACCTTGATTTATGTCAAATCGTTGTAAAAGATCGAATGTCCGATTTTAGCATGTCTAGATGACCGTCTAGCCACGTATACGATCGCCTAATCAATTCTTTTAACAATAATATTTTAATCTATTTATTTGATCGAAAACTTGATAAATGTAACTTATAGTCATAATTTTGATAAAAATTATACCATATTAAGTTTATACGGTTGTAAAAATGAAAATTTATTAATGTTACATGCAACTAAGAATTAACATATTTATAACATGTTGATGTTCTGCGTCACATGCCAATTAACCTAATGTGCACGTTACCACAATTGAATGGTATATCGAATGTAGCACTTTTCTGATTGAATCCACAGAGAACTAGTAATTGGTAACACTAAGAATACACAAATCTCCTTAATCTAAGCAAATAGGAAGGTGAGATGGTGTTCAACAAAAAAAAAGGAAGGTGAGATGAATTATAAATGACTGAAATAGAAAGACAACTAATAACTACTACTCCCTATGTTTCATTGTAGCTGTTATTTTAAGTTTTTGCACACAAATTAAGAAAAAATTTAATTGTACATATTTTCAAAATAAAAAATACCTATACACCTAACCTTATTTTAACGAATAAAAATATAGAAAATATATAAAGTTAATAAATTTTGCATCGAAATTATAAAACGACAACTATTTTGAAACAAAATTTTTTCTCTACAACGACATAAACTGAAACGGAGGGAGTACTAGATAAGACAAATCACTAAGAGAGACAAGCTCTTGGGTATGATAATTGATCAAAGATGAAGAGATAGACTTAGATACCAAACATCATCGAC